GCACTTTTAGATTCACAGGAAAACAGAAGGTACTGAGATCTCCTGTGCGCTCCCTGTCCGCACTCGTAGCAGCCTGCCTATTGTCAGCATCCTCCGCCAAAGCGATACATTGTGATACATTATTACCGTCGGTGTGAGTGTTGACACTTACCACCCAGAGGTCCTGCTTCAGTTCTGGTTTTCTCTTGATATTATTGTATACTGTGAGTTTTGGTAAAATGTGCCGTGACACGTATCCACTTTGGTGTCCCTTTTTTAACTGCCCCATCTCTCACTCTCTGTATCCAGGTAGTGGTCAAGCCCTGGCTTTTCTCCTGTCTGCGTCAAATCCGGCATTGCTCTGTGGCCTCTCCCTTCCCCCCTCTCTCTCTCCCCCTCCCTCCGCCTCTCTCATTTTCACTGTACATTCAGTCATTCTCTTCTGCTTTCCGAGTGGTCTGCCTGCTTTTGGTCTCTGTCCTCCATCCAGTCCTTCCTGCTGCAGTTCAGGGGCGCTTTCCGACCCGGGTGACTCACAGGGCCGCCGGTGTAGCTCCGAGCTCCCCGACACGCACAGGAAGTGCACAGCCCCTCTCGCACCAGCACCCCCTCATCTCCGTGCTGCCTGGCCGTTTTCACCTGCTGGCTGGCAGGTGCCTGTGTGCCGGTGTCTGCAGGTGCAGGGGTCCCTTCCGCTGAACTCCGTGGTCTCAGCCTGGGTCACTTGAGATCTTCTGTCTGGACCCCCACCTGGAGTGGGTGTCATCTCTCCGTTCCCATGGCTCTCTCTGCTGTAACCGTACCCGCTGTAACACGTATCCCTGAACTGTAGTGCTGTCCGTACTACGCGCGCCCCACCCCACGCCGATAATCTGGGCTCTCTGTGGGGACCCTGTTGTGCTCTCTTTGTGCCCTCTTTGTCTCGAGTCCAGCAGGTTTGCGGGCTGTGGTTGGTGCTCAGTGCAGGTTCACCGAGCAACTGACTGGGGCCTTCGCACTGTCCTTGCTGTGCTTCCCCGGCTGCATCCTCTGCGGCGTCTCCCCTTCGCCTGGTCAGACTGGAGTCTCGTGTGTTTCTTGAACTCTGTGCTCTAGCATCTCTGAGCCGTTGCTGACGACCGTTCTTAATCCCTCAATTGTCCGTCTGTGCCACTCTGGGGACATGACCTGCTCTCTGAGCCCTGGTTTCCGTCAGCACTCCGACGGTTACCAGGTACACTGCCCCCGCCCCCGCATCCTGCTGCTGGAGATGCAGGCGTAGAAAGTGGGTAAGGGGACAGGGCCTTGGGTCCGACCTGGTTGTGTCTCTCGGCGCCGGCAGGCTCTGTCACTTTCCAGGTGTGTTTGTGACGTTAGGCCCTTGAGTGCAGGACCGCTGCCTACAACACAAAGAGAGTGCTTCTGGGATTTTCAAAAACTAGTTGTGGAGTCGGTTACTTACCGTGTGTAAGTGCGACTACTTCCAGTCTGGTGAGGGAAGTAAACGGGATTCCGGACTGCGAGGTGTGCCGCGGAGTCTGCGGGGCCGGAGTGCGGAGTGGTGGGGGCAGGGGGGGCCTCCCCAGGAAGGAGGGACCGAGGGTGCCTCAGGTTGTCGCGGGACAGGGAGCAGGCGCAGGCCCGGAGGCAGGCGCGACTGGGACTGTTCCCGGGGCTCAGAGAAGAGAGCTCGCTGCACGTTGACCAGGGGCTAGCCAGCCAGGCACAGCTGCGGGTTCAGCTCCGAGGCTGCTGAGAAGGTCTGAGTCACAGGAGGAGCAGAACCCTCTTCTGGCTTTGGCTCTTGCTCTCCTTGTCTGGAGAGCTGATTGGTCAGAAGGTGTTTCTGTGATCGGGCAGTTGTGGCCTGTGAGCCTGGATTAAGGCCATGGCAGTGAAATTGAAGCGAGGTGGGTGGACCTGAGGTGTGTTTCGGAGGCAGAATTAACAGGGCTTGCTGGAGGATTAGGTATTGGAGGTGAGGGGAAAAAGGAATTAAGTGGGCTCTGGCCCACGCCGCTGGGTGGGTTGCGGTGCTGTTACCCAGACAGGAAAGACTGGAGGGGGAAGGGACAGAGGGATGGCAGCACCGTGGCAGGGCAGGATCAGATCGGTGGGAGGCAGGGACTCTCAGAGGCGTCCAGATGACCCAGTGAGGCGGAGGCCGCCGGGGACGTGGGTCACAGAGGCAGGCGGCAGGTGGATGAGCGCGTCTGGGTGCTGGAGGGACTGCACCAGTGGAGAGAGGGAGAGGCTGTTGCCAGAGGAGAGGGTTGGTAAGGCTGTGAAGTCTAAAAGGTGAGAGAGGACAGTGCCTAGGTGCAGATCACTTGTTCCTTTCTAACAGGAGGGAAGGAGGCGGCAAATCAGCATTTGACGGCTTCCGCTGTGTGTGCTCGGGGGAAGAGTGGGTGAAGCTGTCAACTGAGTCTGCGTGGTCAGGGAGTGCCCTGCTGCGGCAGGTTCAAGGTGTCATTGAGAGGCCCCCTGAGAGGCAGCGAGGGGAGAGGAGAGGTGCTGGGACCGCTGGTCTTCCGGGTGACAGCTGCTGTCTCCTTCCTCCACTGCGTGGGGCGAGGGAGCCCCCTTCCTTGCGGTTCATGCTTGTCTTCGTTTAGTGCCGTTTCGCTTTTTCTCTGTGCTCACTGCTAATGCCACGCTGCCGTCCTTACCCCTCGTGGGGACGCCCTAGCTGCTCTGACACCCCTCGCACCGCCTGCTCCCCACGGGGTGCCTCGGTCACGGCCTTCTTGCTCCCTTTACCTTCTTGTGGGCGGGGCCCGCCATTCGCGGCAGCCCGGGTTGTCCTCCTTCCTGGCCATTCCCTGGTGTTTGAAGAGCGGATCCGCCAGGAGCTCCACATGGGAGGACGTGTGTTCCTGAGCCTTGCGTCATCCGTCTGCCCTCAGCGCCTGGCATAGTTTGTCTTGGCACAGAGCTCTGAATGCCGACCGTGTTCTCTGAGGGCGTTAAGAAGCTTTGTTCTGTCGTATCTGGCCAGCCTTGGATGATGCTACGCAGAAGTCCATCGTTCTGCTTTCTGATTTATTCGTTCATTCAACAGATTCTTATTGAGGTCATGTGGTGCACCAGGCACTGTTTATGTGTTTGGGACATGTCACTGAACCAGCCAGAAATTCCTACCTTCCAGTTTGGGGGCATGTGGGTTGGGAGGCTGCAACATAATAAGTAAGTAAATTGTATTAACCTGTTAGAGAGGAATTCATTCTGTGGAGAGACAGAAGTGGGGGGAGAAGGGAAGTGGAAGGGGGGCAAGGCCTTGGCGGGCATGGTGGACGGGTCCAGGGGTGAGCGCTGGCCACGCAGAGACCGAGGGCGGGGGTGGGCCTCCTGGAGAAGGACCAGAAGGAAGAGCAGAGGCTGCTGGAAGGAGATGACCAGTCCCGTGGGCACCTGGGAGCAGAGCAGCTAAGGCAGGGGCCCAAAGGAGCTGCCTGGCCCCTGGGACGAGGGGGCCGTGCTGTGGGAGATGAAGACCGAGTGACGTGGACAGACACTTCACCGGGGTGCATGGGGGGTGCCGGTGGGGAGGGGAGGGGGAGAGGAGTGGTGCGACCCGGCTCACATTTGAACTGGGCTTCTCTGGTTGCTGTGCTCGGAGCACACTGGGGGCGCGTGTCGGGTGAGGGGCAAGGATGGAGGCGGGGAGACGGTTTCCAGGTAGGAGGGTCTCGCGTCAGTAATCCCCGTGGGAGAGCGGGTGGCTCGGACTGCACGCTAGTGGTCAGCGGTGAGGAGCGGGTGGGATTGGGGTGCGGATTGGAAGGGGGGCGGCGGGGCCTCCTGGTCACTCTAGGTCGGTCACATGCTGGGAAGAGTCAGGGGAGCCTCAGGCTTCAGAGCCCAGTCCCTGGGGGGACGGAGCCTTGTGCCGGCGGGGAAGGAAGGCTGTGGAGGGAGGGCAGGAGCTCCGCTTCAACAACCCCCACTGGGGGCTGTGGGGGTGCGGGGGGTGGCAGTTGGGTGTATACAGCTGAAGGTTTAGAAAATAGAAAAGTCTGGGGGGTTCTGTTTGTTTTACCTGGGGTAGACACAGAGACCTTGAAGTCCTTAAAAACTTTGGTGGAATTTATAAACTATTAAGGCCGAACGAGGTCCCCAGAGTGAGGGAAAGTGGACTGTGGACAACTTCCAATTTCAAGAGTTTGGGGGCAGGGGCAGGAGCCGGTGAAGGAGCTGAGGAGGGCCCGGTGGGGTGGGGGGCTGCGAGCAGCCGGCATGGTTTGTCAGCCGACGGTTGGAACCTGCACCGGAAAGACCGAGGAGACCGCCAGGCCAGTCGGTCACGGTGCGCTGCGCGGTGCGCTGCGCGGTGGAGCGTGTCTGCCGCGGACGAGCCCGGATCGCAGCGCCCCCACAGCCGGCTGGAGTCCGTTCTGGCTCTGGCACTGGGTGTGCCCTGTGCGGTGGGGCCGCGGGAGCCGCGCTTCCTTACCAACCTGCGCCTGCTCCAGTGGGAGCCAGTGGGCTCCTGCGGCTTTGCTTCACCCACAGGAATCGATTCTGGATGAGGCCCCCCACCCCCGCCCCACGTCCCTGGAGCCTGCCCCCCTGGCTGTGCTGTAGGGCCGGCCACCAGCCTGGGGCCGCTGGTCCGGGGGCCCTTCAGTGACAGGGCAGACGCAGGCCACGTGGCTCAGGGCGTGCTAATAGGAAACTGAGATGTTAAATGTTGCAGAGAAATTAGTTTGAGGAAAGTTACAGTGTGTGTTAGTTCATGTGTTACATCCTTCTTTGAAATAACTGAAATGATATGGTTAGTTTCAGATGTAATGTTTATGAAGACACCTTATAACTTCCAGTGGAGTATAGTTCAATTTGAATACGGCTCCATAAATTTTAATGTTGCATTTATTTGCCATAAATTTCATTATTTTTGTATTTGACTAGCAAAGAGATGTCAGTCTTATAATGTAGTAGGTCTCTCGAGTGATTTTTTTAAAATGCGTCAAAATGTTTTATTTTTTATTTATTTACTTTTAACATTTTTAAAAGATCTTATTTATTATTTATCTTTACAGGGGAAAGGGAAGGAGAGAGGGAGAGAATATCAGTGTATGGCTGCTTCTCCTGTGTCCCCTACTGGGACCTGGCCTGCAACCCAGGCATGTGCCCTGACTGGGAATCGAACCACGATCCTCTGGTTCGCAGGTCTGTGCTCAATCCACTGCACTACACCAGCCAGGGCTCGAGTGATTTTTTTTTTTTTAGCCTTGTTTTTAAAATCTCTTTGGTCCCAAGGAGTGTGCTTATCTCTGTTCAGTGCAGCATCAGCTCTTCGCAGGGGGCTGCTGAGTGTGGTCTGCTTTAAAATTTTGTCCTGAGGTGTGTGCGTGTGTGGGCGCTCGTCTGCTGTTTGTCTGCAGGAACGTGGAGTCCAGTGGGCTGTGTCACGCTGTAGGATGCACCGTGGGACTGGGCACAGTGTGTTTTATGAAGTTTCAAAAGCATGGCTTAACGCCAGGATGGAGCAGAGCGGGCGCATGTCTTTGGAACATGTGGTGGTGACCTTACCTTCTGAGAGAGTGTGGGACGGAGGGCAGTAGACACTCGTGTTCAGACTTGGACACAGGTAACTGAGCGACTAGTATTTGGATGCTTTTAAAATTTTTTATTTGATATTAGAGAGAGAGAGAGAGAGAGAGAGGAAGAAAGACAGAAGCATGATATTAAAATATGTCGTTCCACCTATTCATGCATCATCAGTTAATTCTTATATGTGCCCCGATGGGGAATTGAACCCCCGATCTTGGCTTGTCTTGGCGTGTCTTTGTGGATGAGGTTCTAACTGACTGAGCTATCTGGCCAGGGCGTGGATGTTTTTATCTAGACTGTGTGACTTGCAGTAATAATTGTGGTGTAATCTTGACTGACAGTTGTGAAATTTTCAGTTGTGTTACCAGAATTCTATTATTTAATAGTGTGTGCTATGAAATAAAGAGGGCGAGACAAAAATGACAAAAGAAGACAAAAAATAAAGAATATACAAAGAACAACCCTGACAAAAAAGACTAGGAAGCCCGTTTGACCCTCTTTCTTCCACTTATTTCTCTCCTCTTTTCTTGATACTTTGGTTAATGTCTCATGATTTAATGGCCAGCTCAGACGGTCGTGTTCTACCACTTTGATGCAAAAAATAGCAACAAGCAACTACTTGTTAGGGCTAGAGGTTTAATGTAAAGAATTTAGGGAAATGTTCAATATTTTTGTCACTTTATTAACACTGAAAAGATGTGTTGGGTACTAAGTTAAATATTCTGCACCAACCAGAAGATTATTCATACTTTTTTTAGGGTTATTTGAAAGAAAATAAGATTTAGGAATAAAGCAGTCTGGCTGTATTTTTATTACTTCTTAAATTTTGTGATTCTTTAAAAAGATTTTACATATATTTTAGAGAGACGGGAAGGGAGGGAGAAAGGGGGGATACGTCAATCGCTGCTCCCCGTGTTGCTTTACCTGGGACCAGACCCACGCCCTGCTGTTACTGGTCCACACTCCAGCCAGCTCAGCCACCCCGGGCAAGGTCGATTTCTGATCTAGGTTGATTTCCTCATCTGCAGAATGGAGATACAGCCTACTTTATGAGGCCCGTGTACAGAGCTCACAGGACAGAGAAAAACATCAGCTGATAATTTCTTTGTGGATTTTGGATAATACTGTATTTTGTTGTGCATGATGCCCTCCCGTGGGTGATGGGCACCCACGTTTTGTGTGCATTGAACGTGGCATTGTCATACCCATGTATAATGTGCACCCTTATTTTCCCTCCAAAATTTGGGCAAAAAGTGTGCGTTACAGAATACGAAGTATAATAGTTCTTTATCAGATATGCCTTTTGCAATGATCTTCTCCCCATTTGTGGTTTGCTCATCCTCTTGACAGTGTGTTTTGCAGAGCAGAGATTTTTAATTTTAACTAAATCCAACTTATCGATTGTTTCTTTCCTGGTTCATATTTTTGGTAGTGTTTCTAGAAGTCATTGCCAAACTCAAGGTCATCTAGATTTTCTCTTATGTTGATTCTAGGACTTTTATGGTTTTACATTTTACATTTGGGTCTTTGATTCAAATGTTAACTTTTGCAAAGGTGTAAGATCTGTTTCTGAATTTATTTTTCCTCCCATGTTTCCCAAGCCGTGGCCCGATCTTGCTGGACCTCTTAGTGGGTCCCACATGGCTGTGCCGTTCTCTTTTTACTACTTGCTTATCATATGATTGTTTATTGTTTATTATTTTGCAATTATTTGTGCCTTGCTAAGGTTTATAATACTTCCTAGTTTGTAATTTTAATGCTTGTAGTTTAGTCTTAGTTCTGCATTTAAGTGGAGTCACTGTTGACTAGTCTTTTTACAACTGAATCACTGTTTCTACATTACTTATTTTGATTCATCACTTTATAATTTTCGTGAGGGTTCATGGGTACCATATTCCTTGAGTTCTTGCAGATCTAAGCGTGTCTGCTCGTTGCCATTTTTCTTACTTTTCTCTGACGACAGAAGTAACGCCAGTGTCCTGTAAGAACGCAGTGAGGCGCAGCTTGCTCCGGCACTGACGCACAGGCGGGCCCTGTGGGTCCTCTGCCATCCCTGGGCTTCAGCGGCCTTGCCCCGCCCCTCTCACCCTCCTTGGCTCCTCGGCTCTGCCCTTTAGACTCCTGCTACTCCGTGTGGGGCCTCAGCCAGCAGCGCCGGCCATGCTCCCAGCTTGACTGAGACGAATTCTGGCTCTCAGTCCCAGCCTGCACTTGAACAGGACCCCTAGGTGGTCAGCGAGCGCGAGGAAGTCGGGGAACTGTGCAGTCTGGGGTCCGCTGCCCTTCCCCACCGGCGAGCCCTCACGTCCCCACATGTTGGGTTTGGTTTTAGGCAGGCTTCTCTTTTTCAGCTCTCGCCTTAACTCTTCTGTGTGTCAACTGTGGTTTTGAGTAGACGTCTCCCACTTTGTACCTCATTGTCGTGTTTCAGTACCTGGCTGGTATAGTGCCTAGTAGGTTTGGATTAAGTTATGCCGTCTACATGCACGTTTTTTTGCCTGAGGTAGAAGCCTCAGAATACAGTGAGCTGGTCAGTACAATAGCGAGTGTGTGTTGCTGTGCAGATTTGTGTCAGGGTTTGAATTTGCCTCTCTATTGACCACCCCCACCCTGGTCAGGCTGCCCCGTCTCACAGGTGGCTGCGCGTGGGGCCTTCGCCCTGGGCTCTCTCCAGTCCGGCCATCGGTCTCCTTAGGCACTGACTTTGCTTCTGGAGCCACGCAGTTTTCAGACGTACCTTCAGGAAAGGGGGCCTTTTAGGAAAATATGTACAATTAACGCTTTTTTATTATCACTTTGCTGCATGTATGGAAACTAAAGATAGGTTTTTTTTTCTTAGCATTACTGTTTAAAACCAAAGTTTGACTTTTAACTTGGTGTTTTAAGATTCTGAATTTTTTTTTAGATTTTTAAAATAATTATCAGTAGTTTCGAGATCAACATGAGTTTTGGGGTTTTTTTTTTTGAGAGTTTATTTATTTATTTTTAGAGAGAGGGGAAGGGAAGGAGAAAGAGAGGGAAGGGCACATCAGTGTGGGCTTGTCCCTCTCGTGCCCCCTACTGGGGACCCGGCCTGCAGCCCAGGTATATGCCCAGACTGGGAATCGAACCCTTTGGTTTGCAGGCCCGTGCTCAATCCATGAGCCACACCAGCTAGGCAAGATGTTGAATTTTTAATGAGACTTGTCTAAATTTTGTCAGTGTGTGAAAAGTAAATCTAAAATAGAAGCAGTTCTTAACATTAAATTTAACAAACATTTTCTACTTACTACTCATAATATCAAATGTAGAAAGTACCTTTTTTGCAAAAAGCAGTTGAGGAAAGGAGAAAAACCCTTCAATGTTTTGAATGGAGTACTTTGATTTAACCCCTTGGTTTCTAAAACAGAGTAATTTATAATACAGACTGTGCTTTCATTTGACAGTAAATGTTAGTTGTTTCTATGAATGATTTTTGGAGAAGTAAGAGGGTAATGATACTTGCAGCCTACTTTTGAACTAAATTAAGAATGCAAGTTTTACTTCTTACTGTTTTCACATTTTCCAGACTAATCTTTATTTTAAAAGTTTGTTTGTTGTCCCCTTGAAGAAAACAGCCAAATCCACAGTCTCCCCTCACTCAACTAACTGGCCGACTGCTCGTTGCCCGATGCGGAGTCTCACCCACCGGGCCTCCACGTGGTTCCGTCTGCAGCCTGCTTCATGATGATGCAGAGCACAACACTGTATTAATTAGAGTAGCCAGGTGTGTGGTTATGACTAATCAGACAGATTCTTCATCAGCCATTTGTTAAAGGAAGCGAGTTCCCACGTGACATTGAGAATACAAGTGTAAGTCCATCCACTTCTGCTGTAGGCTGGCGTGTAAAAGCAGTGGTCGGATGCTCTGAACTGGCTAAGACAATGTGAAAGGATACTTCTAAAATGTTTTGTTTAGGTTAAAGTCTACTTAAACTTCTTACCAACTTGGGATTGAGGTGTAGGTAATGAGTACACTTGCAAAATTTGGACTTTTTGCTGACTTTGGATTCTCGGGGCTTGTCTTAACACGTTGCAGTCTTCGTGCAGTTTCCAGGCCCCTGTGCAACCACCGGGGGTGAGTTGTGCGTGCCTAGCTGAGAAATTCTGTTAGGGTTACTGCGTAAACCCCGGGGGGTGGGACTGGGCTCACCTTCGGGTGTAGGGGACCCGAGACCACTTCAGCTCTCACTGTGGTGACTCCCTGGTGAAGTTTGTCCACAGATCAGTGATTTTCAGACAGTGCTGGAAGGCCCTTTGGAAGTCTGGGCGGGGAAATGAATTTTTCTTTTAGCTTGCGGAATCAGTCATCTCCTTCATTTGTTTTATACATTTGGGTTCTGTCTTAATTGTTCTTGGAAAGAGTTTCTCTGCCTAAAACATTGGAAGTCTTCTGTCTAGAAACTTGAGAGCTATCTAGAATGGATCAGTATAAGAAGATAAAACATAGGTGATAGTGGTTTGTATTTGTCAATAGACAGTGTATTTTCAATTACACTCTTCTAATGATACAAACATCACTAATAAGGTCGTGGTAAAATAAGGCCGAGGTGATGGAACACACAGTTAATAGGGTGGGGGTGGGGAGTGACCAGCGGTGAGACTGGACGCTGAGGACGGGTGATCAGCCCTCTCAGGCGCTCCGGCGTCTGCAGGCCCCGGGAGAGATGGCAGGGCCGGCCGCACCCGGAGGGCGCCGGCTGGCCCGAGGCCCAGGGCTGGACTGGGGCGAGGCGACGCTCGTTTTAAAGACACTGGGTGTCTTTAAACAGAGTGGGGAGAGGACGGAGTCTCGGTGTGGAGGTGGAGGTGGGAGTTTAATGGGGGGTTTCTTCTCTCACTGCAGTGTTTCTGGAGCGAGGAGGGGACTTAGAATACGGTGCTGGCGGTAGAAATGGAAGCGGGAGTGAGAACCGAGGACGCCCGGTAAACAGTTACTGGGGGCAGTGGGAAGAATGCTGCTTCCCCGGCAGCGAACCCCGGAAGCATGGGGAGGGTTCCCGTGTGGCCACGTGGCTCCGCACGGGCCGTGTGAGGTCGAGTCCGTCTGAAGCGGCCGGGGTCCGAGCGTCGGCCTGCACGGGCAGCGTGCTTCGACCGAACTCGGGTGGTGGCAATGCTGGGCGGTCCCGGCGGGCCGTTGGAGGCCCCGGGCTGGTGGGCGGAGACCGGGCTGGGCCGAGAGCGCAGCCCCTGCCCCGCCCGTGCCTGCGGTGATGGGTGATGGGTGCGCCCGGCTTTTCTGCAGCTGCTCCCCGCCCAGTCCTGGGCTTTAAAGGGGCTCTCCAGCGGCGGGAGCCCGCAGTCCCTCCTGAGCGCCTCCCACCCGCCGCCTGCCTTCCCGGGCGCCGCCACTGCTCCCCGACCGCCCGCCCTGCCCTGCCCCCGAGCTGGCGCGGGCCGGACGAACGGCTGGGCAGTTCGGCGACGGGGCCCGCGTTGGGAGCCGCAGTCAGATTTGAGCCCCGGAAGGTGTAGTCCGCTCCTCCCGAGACTGAAGAGGCTTCCCTCCGCCGAAGCCGGGGCTTCCGAGGAGTGGGCGCTCCTGCGCGTCCCCACAGCGCGACCCCCGACATGCGGGGAGGCAGAGGCCGTTCAGGAGGGGCAGCTGCCTCCAACGGCCTCGGCTTCTGGGGGAAGGGCTGTGCGCTGCCCGGCCTCCCATAACCCGGAGGTCGACCTCGGTGCTCCCTGGAGGGGTGCCCTGCTCACGTGCTTGCCAGCCGCTGGGACGAGGAAGAGAAAAGGTACTGGCTTTTCAGAGACCGGGTCGCCCGCACCGGGGACCTGGGGAGTTGCGCGCGGTGGGAGCCGACAGCATCAGGGACGGGCCGCCACGCAGCCCGACTGGGGGGGGGGGTGGCTTTTGATTGGCGTTTAACCCTGACGTCCCATGGGGCCTTGCGCAGTTTTCCACGGACACTGGAGTCCTTGCTGCCCACTGCAGGGCTGCCTGGCGTCGGGGGGCTTTTCCGGTCGACCCCGCGCCCCGGTCCCACCGCGGGGGCTCCAGGCAGCTGGGACAGCAACGGTCTTGTGAACGTGACGTCTGCGAGAAACACCCGCCACGTTTCGCGTGTTTTCAAACTTTGAATGGGAATTTAAATGACTTTTTACAGTGTTTGGAGAATAATAAAGATACATTGTAACATGAACGTGTAACTATTTTGTTAGGCCAAGAAATTAAACAGGAGTGTTTCTCTAGCTTAGTAGTTACATCATATTGAATACGACCTGAGTTTATTGACTCTGGATTTGATTAGCTGTTTCAGTTTAGTGATTTGAAAGACGTTTGGTGGCTTAGAATTTTTTCCCCCAATTATTTGTTGCTCACTTAATGAGCTACATAAAACGGACCGTGGAATCAGCATGTGGCACAGACAGGGCCTTCGGCGTTGCTTACCTCATTGTTGACACGTGACCTAAAATGTGCGCGGGTCACGTGCAGGAGGAATCTCCCTGGAGCCCGGGGACAGGAGGGTGCATTCCTGTGCTGCTCCTTTGCAGGGCCCGCCCGCCCGGTTTGAGCTGGGCTTGCGACCCTGAGCGCGGGCCGCGCAGTCCTAAGCGCAGGGCGAGCCCCCTGGCAGGGACTGTGCTGGACTGTTTCCTCTCCAGCGCGCGCCCTGTGAGCGTCAGTGCAGTCGGCCTTGCGCGAGACGTCGGCTGCGTTTCCGAGTGTCCACCCGTGAGTGGTGCAGAACCAGGTCACATCAACATGCCCCACTGGTGGCCGGTGTTGGCTTTCAAAGTGAAATTCTTTGCCACAGAATAGCGATGATAACTGAGCAAACGTTAAATTTGAGGCATTAAATTTAACTTTGTTGCGTGTGGCTTACATACAGTTATGGGGCTACACTCAGGCCAGTAGGCTGGTCTTTCACACAGCCTACGGTGAGTTACAGTGTCGGTGATTTCTGCCAGGTGGCATTGGCCCCTGACGGGCTTTACTGTGCCGATGCATGACTTCAGCTGCAGTGGCCAGCCTAGGGTACAAGGAGCTCTTTCCTGTGGACCCCGTCCCCTGCCCCCAGAGGTGCGTGTGCCTCTCTGATGCTTTTATTTTTGTTTACTTTCTTTTCCTAACTTCCCCTTTGCAAATTATATCTGATTTATATTGTGGAATGGCAGTAGAATAGAATGATTTGCTTTCTCTGACAGACTAGAAACTTGGAGGATAGCCCTGCATCTGCCCTCTACCCCCCTCCCTTTGCGGGGAGCCCTCTCAGTGGGAAACAAGATTACCACCCAGCTGGTGTTCACATTCTGGGGAAAGACAGATGGGGTAGGGGTGGGCGGGGGCAGCACTCGGCCCTTCTGACCTCTCCGTTCCCCAAGTGTACCTCTCGAGCAGATCACTGGTCATCCTTAGGGTCTCTCTGAGTCCGTGCCTTGGGACTCTTTGGGTCATGTCCACTCCCTGCAGCTGCGCGCAGCTGACTCGGATGGGGAAGAACAGAGTGAGGGGGGGCTGAACGCAGGGGGAGGGGCAAGTCCAGTCGAAACTGACTTGGTTGAACTTCAGCCGCTCACACTGTTCCTTCGTTGCTCAGGGCCCAGGGGCTGTTCCAGCATTTGTTCCGCAGTGCACCCAAGGGTGGCTTGTGCTTTTTGTTTGAGGCAGTGAGTTCTGGTGTGTTCTGGAACATTTTGTAGAGATATTTCATCCAGTGTATATATAACTCCTAGTGATCAGAATGCACACTTTGTGCAATTATCTAACCCTGTTTATTTTCCTTTGTTTTGCTCAGGAATATTTGCGCGAAACAAGTATAACTTTGTAAAACAAGTTAAAACTGTAAACTGGTGTTCTCCTTCCTCATTTTATTTGTATTTGTGCTTTTATTACAGAAATGAGCCGCCAGACCGCAACAGCGCTGCCTACTGGGACCTCCAAGTGCACGCCGTCCCAGCGGGTGCCCGCCCTGACGGGCACCACTGCGTCCAACAATGACCTGGCCAGCCTTTTTGAGTGTCCTGTCTGCTTCGACTATGTGCTGCCGCCCATTCTGCAGTGTCAGAGTGGCCACCTCGTCTGCAGCAACTGTCGCCCGAAGCTCACATGCTGCCCCACCTGCCGCGGCCCCTTGGGGTCCATCCGCAACTTGGCCATGGAGAAAGTGGCCAACTCGGTACTCTTCCCTTGTAAATACGCCTCTTCGGGCTGCGAGATCACGCTGCCCCACACGGAGAAGGCAGACCACGAGGAGCTCTGTGAGTTCCGGCCATACTCCTGCCCGTGCCCCGGGGCGTCCTGCAAGTGGCAGGGCTCCTTGGACGCCGTCATGCCGCACCTGATGCACCAGCACAAGTCCATCACCACCCTGCAGGGGGAGGACATCGTCTTCCTGGCCACGGACATCAACCTGCCCGGCGCCGTGGACTGGGTGATGATGCAGTCCTGCTTCGGCTTCCACTTCATGCTGGTGCTGGAGAAGCAGGAGAAGTACGACGGGCACCAGCAGTTCTTCGCCATCGTGCAGCTGATCGGCACGCGTAAGCAGGCTGAGAACTTTGCTTACCGGCTGGAGCTCAACGGTCACAGGCGGCGATTGACTTGGGAAGCCACTCCGCGGTCTATTCATGAGGGGATTGCAACAGCCATTATGAATAGTGACTGCCTAGTCTTTGACACCAGCATCGCACAGCTTTTTGCAGAAAATGGCAATTTAGGCATCAATGTAACTATTTCCATGTGTTGAAATGGCAATCAAACATTTCCTGGCCAGTGTTTAAAACCATTGCATTCAACTTCACAGAGAACAGGCACCCTTCCGCCTGCCGACCAGAGACTTTGGGCGGGCGGGCGGGCGGGGCTCGTCACATGAAGGGAAATGAAAGGAGAGGCTGTTAAATCTGGGAGACAGTTGCATGTAGTAACACTAATATATTTAAAATAAGTCAACAGTAAACCACTGAAAAAATATATATATATATACACCCAAGATGGGCATCTTTTGTATTAAGAAAGGAAGCATTGTAAAATAATTCTGAATTTGTGTTCGTTGCAGGTTGAGTGTCCTGTTGGAAATACTGGGTTTCATTTTTTTCCCCTGTGGGAGTGTGTGCGTGTGTGAGCGTGTGCGTGTGTGAGCGTGTGCACGTCCAGGTTTCCTGTAACTGACAAGCCATGTGAGTGGTCTCAGGCCACTGCTTTCCCCCTCTGAGTCGGTGCATAGTGCTGCTGTGTGTGTGTGTTTGCTCATTTTTATTAATTCTAGTTTTTCATTAAATAAATTTGAGTTTCTTTTCTGTAATTCAGGCTTTTCCCAATTTTTTTGTACCTTTTTAAAGTTAGTGTCTTTTTGATATGCATAATTGTTTATGGTCAAGTTTATACATGTGTGCTCCATAATATTTTTTTCTCCCCATTAATCAGTTAATTAGACTTTAAATTCAGCTATTTTTGTGAAGCGTTCCAGAAAGGAGAGGTGACATTGGAAGAATTATCAGAGGCTATTTGAAGCAGCTATAAGACAGTCATTCTTTCTCTCTTTTTCTCCAGTTGAGTCAGATCTTCAGGCGTATTCTTTGAAAGCTTAGAATATACTGATTTTTTTAAAACACTAAGAAAAATAGGCTATTTTTTTTTCAAATATTTTGGACAAATCACATGTTTAAAATTTGTTCTTGTATTTATTGGTTTTGAAAAAGAAGGCATTGTCTTACACAGTATTTGTAATTAAAAGCAAATCATTTGTTTTAAAAAATGGCAGTTTGCAAAAAAAATGTTTGTGGTCTTTTATAATTCTCATTAAAAGAATATCTGGCAAATTAGAGAACTCTGTGTCTGCTTAAGCTCTAAGCTTGATTGAAACCCGAAGTTGCTCTCCCGCCCGGCCCTGGGCTGGGCAGCAGGAGCAGCGCACCGTCTGCGGTGCGGGCGCTTCAGTGTCAAGGGCGGCGCCGGCCTCTGTCTGCACAGCTGGCCTTCCCCTCAGTCTCCCTCACGTTTGGATTCTCACAATATTTTTATGATCTTACTTACTTTGAGAGGGAGGGGAAGGAAGAGAGAAGGAAACAATGATGCGTGGTTGCCTCTCGCCCGCCCCCTACTGGGGACTCGGCCCACAGCCCGGGCATGCGCCCTGACTGGGAATCCACCTGGCAACCCTTTGGTTCGCAGGTGGGCACTCAATCCACAAGCCACACCAGCCAGGGCTGATTCTCAACACTTGGGAGGCTGCTGATGAGTTAAAATGCTGATCACGTTTTCTCCTTAAAAAACAAAACAACAATGAGCTAACATTTCGCAGCCTAGGGATTACGAGCCTGGGCTCAGATGCCAAACTTCCACGGACCTTCACGGCCGTCCCAGCTCGAATGCATTTCCCAGCAGCATGAGGTCGGGCCCCAGCGTCCTAACGTGTACGGTGGGGTCGCCTGTGGCAGCTGCCTCACGGGGTCCCGTCAGCTAGAAGAGTAGGGCCCCGAGGTCAGCGCCGTGCACGCGATAAGCATCCAACAAGCGGCAGCTGTTCTCCCCGTGCCTCTGACTAGCACCATAGAGCTAACGGCGGCCCGGGGCCCTGCACAGCCGGCGAGGGGCTGCAATCGCCTTCTGGGTCACGTGAGACCACTTGGGGCGGCTTTCTCGACTCCCGGGCCTTGGGAAGCCCGTTGGAATTACTCTGGAGCACGGGGTTCACTTCTGATACCCGCGGTCAGTGAGGAGGACTCTGCCATCTCTCTGCTACGTAAGCCTTGGGCTTGTGGCGAAAGCAAACACAGGCCAGCCACACACCCGCGTCCAGGTCTGATGAGGAAAGCCATCGCCCCCCTCGCTGGGCCCCGGCTCCCTCCGCGCGCCTGCAGGTGTGAGCCACGCAGGTTCTCGCTCTGCTGGAGGGGCGTTTTCTCCCAGGATTTTACCGTCGTCTTCTTGGGCGTGCGTCAGCGTAAGTGCAGTTTGTGATGCATTTGTCATCTCTGAGGCTTCCAGTCAACAGGAGGCTTTCAGTAGTCAGTCTGGGGAGTCAGCACTTTGAACAGTTCAAAGATCGACTGTACCGAATGTTTTTGCAGAGGTGCGTCCTTTGGTTTTTAAAATACTTAAAAAAAAACCGTGCTCGACAGATAGACGTTGGAAGTTAGAAAATGGCGCTCACAGCAGAGAGGAGCATTTTTATTTTTCCAGCCCTTGCCGTGTGCTCACCGGCGCTCACAGGTGAAATCCTGTGATCTTTGGATCATGTGATCATGTGACCCCTTCACATCCCCACACATGGTCCCCTAAGCATTTCATCACTTTAATCGGAAAAACCGTTCTGGGCAAGTTTTGTGAGGACTGACTCATTCTAGCCAGTTCCCTGGTAGATGCTTACTTTGCTCACTTGGTCCAGGTAAATTTTGGGGGGACTATTTATAAATAACCTGCGAACATTTATGTTTTCTGATATTCTTGGCATTCTTTATCTTTCTAAGTTCTTTATACGCTTTAAAAATATTTTATTTATTTATTTACTTTAGAGAGAGGGGAAGGGAAGGAGAAAGAGTGGGAGAGAAACATCAGTGTGTGGTTGCCTCTCGCACGCCCCCTACTGGGGACCTGACCTGCAACGCAGGCGTGTGCCCTGACTGGGAACTGAACCAGTGACCCTTTGCTTCACAGGCCCGCACTCACTCCACTGAGCTACACCAGCCGGGGCATAAGTTCTTTATACTTTTACCATTGCCTTCTGGGGGTTCCAGTGGGCACAACAGTGTGAAGGATTTTTCCTTGGCCTGTAATCTCATATTTTCTAATTTATGCAAGTTAAGATGATAAATTCATATTTCGCTAACTTCTGCAAATTAAGGTAGTACATTTTGTGTCTGGCAGCTAATAAGGTTGACGGTTTAATATCTGATAACTGTATTTTGCCGGAGTTGTCTTCATGTTGTTGGCCTGCAGGGGTGAAGAGCGTTAGACATGTATGTCATGGTCGAGATTCGATGTACGAGTCTCTCTCGTTCCGAACTTGCCTCTGTCAGGATCAGCATTCTGTTTTCTCCTGTCTGTGCTCCTGCCCTCTCTTTTGGTGTCTGGCATTCTTTTGGGATTGGGGAGGGGGAGGGGGAGGGGATACTCTTTAACTTGGTTCTTTGGCTTTCATAAACTTAAATTTGATGTTGAATCACAGGCCAGTGCTGTCATGTTGACGGCTGCTGGGAACAGGCTTTTCTCCTGCTGTGAGGGACTTGGACATGTGTGATGTGAAATCCGCCCTGTCCCCCGCCCCCCGCGGCCCCTAGGAGCTCAAGCGCTCTGCCACCCAGGGACATCTGCAGTGACCCCGCTAACGGAGTTCTACTTCCTTCAGCCTCCTGAGCCAGGGAAGCGGCCCGAGTTGACAAATGACCAGCTCAGACTGCGGGCCTGGGGCCCCAGGACCTGCTGAGGTCATGAATGAGGGCACAGTGCTGTGAGGCCTGTCGCCGAGGGCGCTGCTGGGACCCGTGTGTCCCCTGCCCGCCTGCGAGCTTCCAGGTTGAAGTGACAGTGAGAAGGGTCTGGACACAGGCAGTGGTGGCAGCTGCACAGCACTGCAAACGTATTGATGTCCCTGAGTCCAATGTGGTTAAAAGGGTAACTTCGGTTGCTTGGCCGCAATAAAAAAGAACAAGTGAACACGAGAAAGCTTAGGCTTCTAAACAGCATCAGAGAAACGAAGGTTGGAGGTTGGGGGTCATTCACAGCGGGGTCTTGGTGGGCTCCTTCAGAGAGGAAGGCCTGCTCAGGGCTCGGACTCCGGGGTGAGGGGGACACAGGCCCCGCCTCCTGGCAGGCGTTGCGGCCAAACGGGGGTACTGAGGCAGGAGCCTGGGCGCGGGCCAGCCCCAGGGCTGCATGTGCCCTCCCAGAGCACACTGTGATTTTACTGGCAGGTCTTTATGTCACCGCAGACCCCTTTCTCCTCCAAGAGACGCCTGCTTGTCCTCACAGGTCTGTTCTTACATTGCGTAAGCCCCTGAACCCCACCGTCGGCTGGAATAACCGCTAGGAGGCGCTCGGCGGCTTCACGTGGCTTTCTGACCTCACCTTCCCTCACACTGACTCCGAGCTGCAGTCTGCGGTTTATAGGTCGGGGACCCCGGGAAGCTCCCCAGCCTGACCTGCTCCCCCGCGTCCACACCCACACGCTGCCCGAGCGGCAGGAGAGGAGAGGCGGCGCAGACCTGGGAATCGGCTCGGGAGAACAAGCGACGTCACAGGTAAGGGTGGAAAGCGTGGGGACCGTCCTAGGATGGCTGGTGGCCTCCCTGGAGGGACTGCACTGTTTTAGAAAGATGACGGGCACTCAGGGCTAGCGTGTCTCGGGCGTGTGCTGAGCCCCGCCGTCCCACCTGACCCCGTGCGGTGCGCACCCCTCCCTCAGCCCTGGAGGGGCCTGTGCTGGGGGGTTGGGGGCCTCCTGGTAGCGCCCCGCCCGCCTGGGTGCTTCTCTCCCACGGAGGCTGGCGGCTGGCTTCATCTCACCGTTGCCCAGTGCCCTTCCTCGCTGACTGTTCTCCAGACTCAGCGTCTACAGGGGAATCACTAGGGTAACTGTGCACCAACCGTCCTTGGCCCTGACTGCATCTGAATAACCCGAGGGCTCCTGGTGGGACTAGAGAGTTGACGTTTCTAGCAAGTTCTCGGGTAACACAGGGGCTTCCCATGTGGCCCGCACTGCAAACCAGTGCTTGTCACCTTCCCAGGGGCATAACGATCCCGTGAAGGACAAAGGACAAGAGAAGGATTTAGTTAGTTAGCATCAATTTATTAAATCGACATTTCTGTAAGAAACACGAGCCACCCTGTGGACGAGGCCCGTGACTTCTGTGATAGTGTGTGCACGAAGGGACATTCTGCTCGCCCGGCAGGCGTGGGAGTCGGCCTCGTGGGCACTCTGGGCACCTGACGCCCGGAGAGCTGAGCCCTGCGCCTACAGTTTGCTGTTTACCACAGGGCTGCACGTGACCGCAAAGCCACCATCGAAGGCTGCGTTCAGGACGTCATCCAGGCAGGTGGCCGTGACGAAGCTTAAGTCCTGGCGCACGTGGCCCGGGACCTCCTCAAGGTCCTTCTCGTTCCTCTGCGGGAGGATGACGCGCTTCAGGCCCGCCCGGTGTGCCGCCAGCACCTTGTCCTTGATGCCGCCCACCTGCAAGAGAAAAGGACGGACACAGGTCACGCGAACTGCAGCCGCCCTTGCTGCTGCTTCAGGGGGTTTGGATCAGCTCCGACTTGTTACACCGTGAGCCGGGAAAGAAACTGAGAAGGTGCGCATGCGGTGAGTGCATTTCCAGTCATGTGACAGTCAACCCCACAGATAGGCGGAGACAGTAACCCCGCAGATGGCAGGGGGAGACAGTCAACCCTAGAGATGGGGGGACACAGTCAACCCCACAGATGGAGGGGGGACAGTCAACCCCACAGATGGGCGGAGACAGTAAACGTCACCGATGGGTGGAGACAGTAACCCCACAGATGGAGGGGGAGACAGTGAATCCCACAGATGGGGGGAGACAGTAACCCCACAGATAAAGGGGGAGGCAGTCAACCCCAAAGATGGGGGTGAGACAGTCAACCACACAGATGGGCGGAGATAGTAACCCCACAGATGGAGGGGGAGACAGTCAACCCCATAGATGGGCGGAGACAGTAACCCCACAAAAGCAGGGGGAGAGAGTCAACCCCACCCATGGGTGAAAACAGTAACCCAACACATGGGGTCTGTGGGGTTAACTGTCTCTCCCCCCATCTGTGGGGTTGACTGTCTCCCTCCCATCTGTGGGGTTACTG